AAGAAAAATAGGATATTTTTTGGAGAATCTGTGAACACATCTTGAAAGAAGTCGAAGAACGAAATGCCACTTCAAACACAAATAACCATTTCACATAATGAATTATTTAAAGCGAAGTGTGTTCCTCGCTCGCTAAACTATCTGTATCTTCAGTATCGGAATTGGTTGCAGCTTGTACTCGAGCGTATTCGTCGGTGTCGATACTTTTACAAAAATGAATCGCATACTTCAGTTTTTGTTGTAGAACTGCTTTGCACGAATATCGCGGCATTTTTAAAAGGAAAAAGCAAGTGTAGCTTTCAGGAAGAAACTGGTCCGGTGGGTTGTACTTATCCATTACCTAAAAAATGAAATAAAAATAAAAAATAAATAAAAATGGTGCAGTGGTGGATAATTAAATTTTAGTATTTCTCTTGATTTAATATTTCTCGAAGAAAAAGATGGCAATTGCTTACTTGTAAAACAAAGTCTCTGCCTCTAAAATCTGCGATTGTGCGCGGTAAACGTGTTCTGCCCCAAACGAAACGTAGGAAAAGCGATCGTTCTTGATTGGAAAATTCATCCATGACTTCCCAGAACCATTGAACAAGTGGTGCAATCGCTTCAATACCTACAAAATAAAAGATAGCTTTTTTATTTCAAAATTGACAATACATAATTATTTTAAATTTGCAGTAGAGCACGTACCTTTATATGTTGCAACAGATTTTAATAAATTAAGCGGTATATCTGGACTACCGCAAACCATCGTTTCGAGTTCAGCACCACTAAACAATGCCAATAAGGGCACAGGAACGACTTTTGATAAGCCTTCTCGTACAGCTGCTACTTGAGCATCAAATTCATGTAATCTATAATCTAATGCCAATCTTACATATTCATGTCTATTTTCTGGTGTTATTTTTAAATATCTGAAAAATTAAATTAAATAATTTTATAAAAATAAACTTTTTAATTTATCAATTCTCTCTAAAGACATCAGATTTAGAAAAAAAATATTTTCTATAATAAATATATATGGAATATGTATCAGGTAATGAATAATACATTGTAAAAAGTTAATGTAAATACATAAAAAAATTAATGCAATACCTATTGGATAATGCCACATCGTGTCCTGCAGCGGATGGCGTGGAAAATGGCATTTCTAATGTCTGAAAGACTTTTTCATCAGGATCCATGTCCCTAATACAAAGTAAACCAGGAACATAATCCCTGTCGACTTCCGTCAAATCCGCAGGTGTCAGAGGTATTCCGGCAAGTTGTTTCCAAACTGGTTCGGCTAAATTTAAACTCAATGGACTACCTGTTCGTATAGCAATCCCCATTAAAATGCCTAAGAATTGAAACATGTTCATATGTAATTGTGAGTCGGCCATGGGATTTAACAAGAAACAGTCTCGATTTGTGCCATTATCTTCGCGACCATTTGGTGTAGGTATAAATAGCGGCAAGGAACCATTTTGCAATTCATCACACATCTCTGCTATACTCTCACTGTATCCACCGCCGCAATCATCGACACTTTCCCCTAGAAATAACACAAACATTAATGATTTTACATAATCTAATGAGAAATCACAATTATATCTAAAGAGAATACATACCCACGAATTTTACTTTCCATATCCTATGAGGTAGAAACAATACATCTTGTGTTAAGAGGGACATTTTCGATACCATTTGGCCAAAAACAGACTTGATACCGTCTGGTCCAGCTAATCCGCCTTTGGCTCTAGCTCTTTTCACTTGAATTCTATTTAATTCGATCACAGGTCCATGTTGGCGATCTCTGACCATTGTGGCTTGAATAACTTTGCGAAATGTCGCTTCCTTTATACTGTACACTAACATAGGAGCTAACTTGCTCAGCCCAATATGCCCAGTGATCGGGAACATAGCCAAAGCAGGGCACAAAAGTTCCGCGAAATGATGGAGTAATACTAGTCTGTTGCGCAATACAGAATACGATAGATCTTTAACTAGATCGTATTCCATGGGTGTAGATGCCGGCATTCTGCTTTGCGTAGCTTTTGCAGTACTCCAAGCTAGTGTATGCGCACTGCCGCAGGCCACTCTCGTAATTTTCTTGCCTTGTAACGCATGTACCAGTCTTGGTCTATAAAGCGCACTCGTGGTGCCATCGCCGAGCTGGCCCTCGTCGTTGTCGCCCCACGTGAAAACCTCTCCTTTGTCGGAACATGCGACGCAATGCAACGAACCCGTTGCTATCGAAATGATCTTCTTCCCTTGTAATGCGGCTACCTTACGTGGTCTACGTACATGGTCATCTGTGCCATGACCTAAACGATGATAATCGCCTTTACCCCTGCAAATAAATAAAGAAATAAAAAATGTAAAAAGGAATTAAAGAAGAT